GTGGGGCGTTACACTTTTACCCTGGAAAAACTCACACACCGGAGGGGTTTTTCAGTGAAAAACCCTCGATGCTTAAATGGGTATGTGGTGAACTTGTTACCCGATCGTAAAACCTACACTGCACAGTGTGTCAGATACGGTTATGAGGCACTGACCAATCAGGTAGTGCCACGTGGTTTTGCCCATGTGGGGGTTTAATTTCCCTAAGATTCCTTTTTATCTCTTAGTCTTTCATATTAGACCGCTTAATGGTACGACTAGCATTAGGTTGATTGAGGTGAAGCGCAAAGTGTTTCAAGTCCGAGTGTTATCTTTTCAAATCGATTGCAAGACCACATGTGCATGTAGGTCGAGTTTCTACCAGGTCGTCTAAGGACCCTAGCTCGACCCATTCTCCGTGTTCCGAACCCCTTATGTTGTCTTCGAGACAGAAGTCTCTTAATCCTGTATTGGTGACCCATGGACATACAATGACGTTCGAGCAATGATGCACCGCCCCTGCTTTGACCGCGTTGGCGATCATCCTCTCCATCTCTTCTCTGGTAATTGTCACTAGCAGTTGACTAGCCTGCTCCACGTTTATACTTGGTGGTCCCATCACCTGCACCACATGTCCTCTTGGTTGTGCACTGGCCGGATCTAGCTACTGTTGCGTATGAACCACCATCCCTTGGAGTGCCCGAGCTTCCATCACCCGACTCAAATCTGCCACTATTGCAAGGACTTCTGTAATATCCCGATATTTTATCGGTATAAATTATGTTTTAATTCCGATATAATAATGTTAACGTTTATTATTTTCGGAGTTAATTAAATTCAGTCGAGATTACCGAAATTTATTTTCGACGTACCGTTTACGTTCGGAATAATTTTGGTAATTAAGCATTATGTTTAATTAAATAATTAAACATAAAATAAGTGATTAATTAGCAGTTAATCACCAATTTAAGTCTTAAGCCGTGCATTAGGGAAATTATTCTCCAATTAATTTCCTAAGCCGTGAGTTATAGGTAGATGTATGTTCCAAATTGTATCCAATTTCCTAAGGCTTAAGAAATAATTTTCCCTCCATTCTTTAACTTGTACACGTGGCTTTATAAGGGGATAAATTGGGAGATTAGTCATGCTTAGTAATTCTATTAGCAAGCAAATGTCAAGGCTTAAAGAAGCCACGTCTCTCATGGGGCACTCCATATATCCCACGGCCTAGTATATAAGTATGAGATTGGGAGAAACTTTCCCCACTTTCCCCTATGTTAAACTCAGCATATCTCCTCCCACCTATTATATATACGTTCAGCAAGCTTAAGAAGATCACAATCATTCCTCAAGTTTAGTTCTCGCACGGCCCTACCGAAGCAACGCACGGAGAGTATTGTACCGGCACGCACACGCAAGGACTTGAGCAATTTCGGTATTCCGGTGAGTATTTGCGAAGGTATAGTCGTCCTCGACTTATGTTTATGGCCGTAAGTTTATTTTAAGTTAAAGTGTTCGATTCACGTTTGAGAATTTTTAGTAAGGCCGTACTAAAGTTCGATTAGGCCTAAGTTAAATCGTGATCGAATAACCTTTCGTTTTACCCGGCAACTCTCGAACTATTTACGTTAATTATTCAGTTTAGATTATTTCATGTCCAATAAGTCCATGTTAGTCGAGGCAAAATGATGTTCTATCGATGAAGTAGCTCAAGCCGTCACTAGCGCTTATCGCGCGTGTACCAGGCAGCTTAGAGTCATGTTCTATCGCCTTCAGTGATGATCATGTTCTTTCGTGTATTTAAGTCTTAAATTACCTCAAAATAATGTTCATGTTTATGTGTTCTGGAGTTGCCAAGGGAGAAGGTGTTTTGGTCGGAAGACGGTGTATTGCCGTCGGCGGCGCACGGCGCGCTCGCCACGGACCTTTCATGTTGATCGTGCAAAAGTTACGTTTTTAAGTCATGTTGATAATTAAGTCCATGTTCAGTCAGGCGACGTTATATTACGTTGAAGTTGTCGGAAAGAAACGCCGGA